CTGAAATGAGTCATCATAGGTTGCCATCTCCAAATCAATATAGATGGAGACTTGTAAAAATATGAAGAATATAAAATGATAATACAGTTTTATTTTAACCAGTGTGATGCTTTAACATAAATTATTTTCATTGTTTAAGACCGTCTGGATCTAGAATTAAAATGCCAAGAGGGAGAGAGATCATGGTTTCCTTTGCCTTTGTCATAAATTCTCCTTTAATGTTTTCATATTTGCTTTCCCATGTATGTTCTCTTGCACTTGGGGAAAATACTGTTCACAAAGAGCTCCTTTGCATGTCTGTCTTCTTTGAATATCTTGGAATGGAAGCTCCTTGGAGGGAGGACCTGTATCTTTTACATGTTAAAGACCTGACACAAAATGAGCCCAAAATAAATGTTAAAACATTATCGGACCAAACACTTCAATCAATCTCAGTTTTGAACAAGAGAACTGGGGAGGCAGTGACAGCTGGATATACTTGAGATGTCGATACCTTTGGGTGTCTTTGTCAAACTATAGCCTGAGGCCCCTTCTGTTTAAGAGATAATAGACAATATTAAATGTACTGACAGGTTTTTTGAGAAAGAGAGGAAAGGAAATGAAGAAAAGTGCCTATGGGACACGACATTTGAAAAATAGTTTGTTAGGAAGAGAAAAAAAATTATGCAATGGAAAATCACCTTTTTACAAATTTGTGTGAAAGGTAAACAAAACAGGTTTAATTAAGTTTTAAACCAGAATGCATATTATTGTGAGTGAAGAGCGGAATGCCTGGCCAAATAATGCTATCCAGAATGCAGACTGCTGCCTTGAGCATGAAGTAGTGAAAAATGCCAGACATGGTGACAAGAAGAATTCCTTGAATACTGAAAGCATTCATTCTTTGAGATGTCTGGGACATAGAAATGCAAACATGTCTAAAGAAGAGACACCAACAATATGAGGAAATTCTTGGTAACAAAAACAAAATTAATGGAGAAAAAGTGAAGTTCCTTGTAATTGAGTTACTAATTTCTGGGCTAATCCAGCAGAGCCGGCAGAATTGAAAGTCAGAAATGGGAGAAGAGTTGGTGTTCCTGTGGAAGAGGAGGGAACTGAATAAACATTTTTGTCAGGATAAATATTTCTTTGTATTATTTATCTTCTTTCTTATTTCCCATAAGATTTGCAGATAAATATACCAGTTTTCCTCATAAAAATTAAGTATGCAATCAAGATACTAGAATCAAAATTTAAGAATAATAGTAATCTTTAGGCCAATAGCTTTTAAATTGATCATAATGCAGGAATCTTCATGTCCCTAAGACAAAGCAAAGTCCCTCCTTGTTTTCCCCCCTGAAGACAGCTCTATCTACCTGCCTCAGCAAAAACCGATATTCACTACTTTACTCTTTCAAAACAAAAACAAAAACTGCATTTAGTCCTTAATTAAGAGTAGGGTTCGGAACCACTGCCTAGTTGAGGTTGATTTCCTGTCTATCTAAAACAGGATTTGCTTATATTACTCATTGCTTTCTTTTAAGGAGAAATAGTTCTTATTAGGAGTGCACTTGTATCTTTAGAATTTGACATTTCTTACTACCTAAGGCCTTGCCAACAGAAAGGAGAAAAAAGAGTATGTCTTGATAATGTATTGAGTAAGAAGATTTAAATTGTCATGTGCAATTTAAGCTGCAAGAAAATCATGTCTGATCACAATCTGTAAATTTTCATATTCTTAATTCAGATTTTGCCATGAAATAAATGTTAGGTAATTGTGAAAAGGCAGTTCTTACCTATGTATTCCCCATGGAGTAACAACCAATCTGGCATCAACAGGAAAAGGTAATGAGAAGTGTAATTACCTAATATAAATGAACTCAGTAGTGGCTATTTTCTATTTGAAAATACCACCTGTTTCTATTAGCATTTCCAAGCTTCCTAGTTATGGTGCACTGTTCAGAACTGAGTGTGGAGATAGCACACAGCTGTAAACTTAGGAATTATGCTTGTTTTGAACTCATAAACATAATAAGGTTAATATAAATAAAGTCGAGTGCTGAAAGTTAATCTTAACTAGTAAATGAAAAACATAATTGTATGATGTCAGGATATTTTGTTAAACAGAAAGCTAAGTTTATGATAAAACTTAAAATGAGAGACAAAACATGGTACTGTGAAGCCATGTGGTTAATAAGTGCAACCGAGACTTTGACAAATTTCTCTTGTCAAATGAAGCTGGAATGCATATTCTTCAAGTTCCATACATTTTGTGGCATTTTAATTTTCCCCTTTGCACTTGAGAAAAGCAAAACTCTTTTATCATACCTTGTAATATACAGATGACAGCTTCTGAGACTGTAGACTAGATTTTCTATTGACAGATAAGTTGAAGTGACCTTGAAAATAAAAAAAAAATTAGACTTTATTGTTACTTACATTTTTGTCCTGTTAACAAATTGAGCAACAGTGCTATTCCATCCCTTTAATAGGACAGTAAAAGAACTGTTATTAAATTTGGGGTCAGAATAAATATTTGTAATTCTTTAACACATCTGTATGCAAAACAGTTATGAACACAGAAAATTTCAATATTTTTGTGAAACATTTTGAGAATTTAGTATGAATACAATAATTAACTTTCATGGAATTCTGTATATACATTTACAATGCAGGGCATTCTCCTGTAGCTATGCTTTGATAGTCTTCTAACATTAAAATTCAGAAAAGTAAATTGAGCACAATAGCAATAGTAAAATTTCACAGTTCAATTAGGTATCTGTTTATACATTTAGCTTGTCTTCCTTTCAGAAGAAGCACTTTAGCAAAGAACATATCACATAGGGTTTTATGTTTTAATAAATCTGATTACAAACAAAAAAATGAATTAACTTTAATAAATAGCTTTTGAATAACAAACATGATATCTCTAAGAGCTGAATGTGAAAAGGTTGCAAAGTTTTTTCTCTAATAATATTTTACTTTGCTAAGGTCCCAGTCGAACCCAGGACCAATAGAAATGTTCCCAATACTTGGTAGTTCCATTTCTCAGGTATGCCCTTTAAAAAGGTGCTAAATATTTGAGAAAATATTTACATAGACTTATCTGTCAATCTGTGTATTTAAATTGTATCTCCCCTCTTCACTTCATTAGACCAGCATATCCCTTAAAATCAATCTTTCCCTTTAACATTTAATCAAATTTATTGTACTCTGTTTTGCAAAATTGAACCACATATCTTCAAAAATGATAAAATCAACTACCTCAACTCTACTTTGTCTTCCCCTCCAGCTACTACACTCTCTCCGCTCATTTTTAGACAGTATTTTTGATAGAGTTGTTTCTCCTTACTGTATATAAGTGCCTGTCTTCTATGCATTTTTTCTTTTTAACTCATGCCAGTGTTCCAGCCTCTACAGACTTTTTCCAAAAATATTTTTTGTTAAGGCTACTTATGACTTTCATGTCATTACTTCCAGTAAATATTTTTCATTACTGCTACTTGAAATTTCAAAATCATCCAAATATGTTAACTGCATCATCTTTTTTGAAGCACTATCTGTCCTCATGCTCTTAAATTTTCTTCCCACGTGTTTCTGCTTGGTCCTCTCTTTCTCTTGATATCTTTCATCTTCTACCAAACAATAAATTCTGGAAGTACTCAGTTTTTGACTTAAGCAAAGCTATTTCCATAAGAAGCCTCATAATTATATTCACATTCATTTCTGTTATTATAAGATGACTTTCAGAAGGACCTCTAAGTTCTCCTATCAGCTTCAGATTTACATAACTTACATACATATGATGCAAATGAATTTAAACATATGCAAAACTGTGTTCACTTTTCCTCTAACCATGGCTATATCCAACATTCCTAATCTAGAACAGTACTACCATGAGCTAAGTTGCCAAAGGTATAGCTATCCTGCATGCTATTGCTGTTTCTCTGATACACTGTACAGGTTTTGGGTTCTAAATATCCTTTAAAAACATATGGAATTACCTTATGTTAAACTATTTTTACTTCTCATTTGGATAATAGAAATACTCTCATCTCTTTGTATATATTCTACCACTGCTCCAGATTTCCTAAATCTTTGTCCACATTGCACCAGAATGAATTTTCAAAACCCATATCTGATTATAAAATTCTTCAATTGCCACCCATTGTTGATATAATAAATTCAAAAATCCTCATCAATCCAAATCCTCAAGACATTTCTGATCTGTGTTCTTTCCACCTGCACTGTCTGTTCCCACTTTCCTGCTCAGTCTCTGCCCTCAGGTTGCCACACTAACCTACTCCCTGTTTCTTGAGAGTTCTGTGTTTTTTTTACACCATAATTAGGGTAACAGAATATAGATGTGGGCCCTATTAATAATAAAAAAAATGTTCCAGGTCACCAATACTTGTAAACTGTTGAAAATCTTTGCACAAGAGTGTCAGCGCCTTGTCATGTCAACTGGCTCATCATGATTCTGGAAGCATGAACCTGATTATAGGATGTAGCTACTGCTGACCCTTCGACTGAAATTCTTTCTCTCTAGTCTCTCTTCCAGTTAACTAGTCATCCTGCTAACCTCATCTCAGGGATCATTTTTATAAGGATTATCTTCCTTGCAATCCCACTTCTTTCCCTTTAAAAACTCAAGCAGACTCAATTTCCTTGATAATGTGTTTAAAGTGTGTTTATTTCAGTTGCAAATTTAACATGTGTTATTTTAATAATTTTACTAATACCTATCCTCTCCACTAAACAGTAGACATCATGAGATCATGAATCTTATTGATTTTTGTTTGTTATTTTTTCTGGAAAAATCTAACCCAAATCCTAACACATAGTAGGTGTCACTTAATCATTTGTTTCATTTGTTTAGTTAATCAATGAATGGATCATTAAACTGCTGAATGACAAAATGTTGATGTCATTAGACTGAGCATCATTTTTTCCTCTTGCTTTTATTTTGAACCAAGGGGGAGTGAAGGAAGGGTCAAACCACATATAGAAAGTGGGATTATATGCTCTGGTTTCTCTTTATAACAAATAAATATTTTTTTTTTTTTACTGAAGATTTCCATGGAGAGGAACAATTATGAGTTTATAACTGAATTTTTTGATGTCCTGCTTAGGCAGGGCTCATAAAAAAAAGTGGGATTATGAAAAGATGCTTTGTCCAAGAGCCAAATTTTCATCTCCTTATGTCTTTATTTGAAATTCCCACAAACCATGCTCAAGATAACTTAAAAAAAAAAAAACAAACAAACCATAATTCTAGCACACAGCATCTTCTTTTCTGTCTTACTTCATAAGGGAAATAGAATTAAGAGAAAAATCACACAAACTGTAAAAAGGTACATTGTACAAGAGAGAGCCAAAATGATTAGGCTGTGTCTGCACTAACATCCACTTTCTAATCTCACCAACACAATGAATCCCTTACCGTCTCATGGAACATGCGAGTAAGAGTCAGATAAGCAGGTGTCTAAAGTCTACTGCCTTGTCCTACTCTGGGCAGACCCTCACCTGAGCAGACTTTTTACAACTTGGGTCACAGAGTATGTTTGCCCCTATCTGCAAGGTCACTGCCTGAAGTCTCATCTAACATGCAATACACTTTCCCTTTGGCGACCCCTACGAATGGTTGGGGAACATTTTTGTCATATGACAACAACAGCTAGCTCCAAAGAGTTAATACTCATTTTCTGCCTCTACCCATTCTGTATCTCCACGGTTTTACTAATGTGACTGCAAGTTTAATTACCTCTAGAACTTAGACATCATTTTGGAGAGAGGAAGTAAAGTAATGTTTATCCTGAACCAATTCACTTAAATGATTTCATTTATCCAGAAATAACTAACATTGTACTTTTGTGGAATAGGTGCTCAAAATAAAAATAAGTTATATCCTAACTAAAAAAAAATTCAACGTCTAAGACTGGGGTTACAAATATTAAACTTTACAAGTGGAGATAATGTTCCCTCTAAAAAAAAGGACTTTCACATGTGGTAAGTATAAATATAGCCTAGGCTACAGCAGATTAATTTTTTTTATTTACAGAAATATCCAGTCAGTGACATAAGCTATTCTAGTTATTGTTTAACTAAGTCCTATTCTGGGTTTTTCCCCACTAATTTGCAGAAATGTACACAGGCCTTGTTATGGTCCTTCATGCTACTAAACATAAGTTGAAAAGTCTTATGTTGACATGAATACTAAATCAAAGACCACTAGAATTATTTTATTTTAGACCAAATTGTAAATTAAAATTTAAAAAACACTATTCATCATTTTGTTTTAAAAGTAAACCTTATCTGATCAAAACACATGCACACGCATACACATACACATTCATTGAACATTATCTACAAACTCTGTTTCTCACTGACCTTTTAAGTTAAAGAAAGCGATATTCAGAAAATCAATAGGAAAAGAAAGTGACAAGACCACTAATGTTTATTGCATCAGATCCAACAGGGACTTTTAAGAAGTCATTAGCCAAGGAGTCAGCATGTCTGCTTTTTAGTCAGACTTACCTATCTAACATTTGACATTCTAGTGAGTGAGGCAAGCCTACAAGGACACTTGCTGTAGGTCAGAATAGTTTAATTTATAGGATAAGAATGTGACCAGGAGATATGGTGCAACTTCGCACTGATGTATACAAAATTTAAATATTTACCTGTAATTTCACTGAAGTAAACCAAATTTAAATATGTTTCTGTAATTTCACTGTAGCAAACCACAAATCTACAGAAGTGTGCTTATTAATGGGGAAAGCAAGAGGTACCTTCCCTTAAATAAAAACCTTTCTGTTAATCTATGGAAGGAAAATTAAAAAGAAAATTATCCTCAATGCATTGTAAAATAATCTACATTAATTTTTTTATTTTTATTTTTGAAAACTAAACATCATTATATGTAGCAAGACCAAGGGCCCTATCTGTCTACTTTCCTTTGAAATATTTATGTATATTTTTAATGTATTTATATTTTATGTGTAAATAAGATTGGCTACACTTGGAAGTATGACATTGTAGACTCCTGTTATTCCTAATATTTTGGAAAATGTTCTTGAGTTCAGATAATGAATAATTTCAGAATTCCAATGATCCTCTGGTAAGGCTTAGTCAGGTTTGAAGGATATAGTGACCCCTGAAATAGTAATGATAGTAATTGTGTTTTAGCCATCTGCTCCTCTTCTTGTTGCTTCTCAGATTTATTTTAAATTACTTAGATATGACCAAGGAATTGCAGGTTTAATTTTATGTAGTTTATGAAAATATCCAAAAAACTTCAAAACCAACTAGGCTTTCCAGTTCACCTTTAAATGGAGACACATTTACAACTGATGCTCATCCCCTTGTCTACATTTGGGTCATGCTATTTCCTGTATACATGCTGGTCTGGATGGTAGCTCCTTATGAAGGCCCACAAAAAGAATTAACCGTCAAAGATAAACAAAGATGGACACTAGGTAAAGCAAGAAGGTCAGATTTTACTCAGTAGTAACTACTGCAGTGGGGAATAGGGTCCAATGTGATCCAAACAACTTCACCAAAACAAAAGACAGGAGACTTTTCACAGCCTGGGGTGTGCTCCAGGGAAGGAGCTCAGGAGGTAGGTCCATGTGACTTGGCCATCTGGGCTTGGTAATTGGCATTGAAATGAAAAAGAGAACAATTGATCCTATTTTTTTGACAGGAGGCAGCTGCGGAAGTTGGAGGATGGAAACTATTGAACTTAGTTTCTTATCCTCTCACAAAGACTGACAGAGAGACAGAGTGTGTGAGAGAGAATTTTCTCCTTTGAGGCTTTGTCAGGAACACAGCAAATTCTCCTGGGGGCCGTGAGCTTTCTCAGACAAGAAATTAAGGGGTTGGAGTCATCAACTTAGAGATGTGGCCTTGAGCTTCTAGAAAGTATACCAGTGTTAGTTCAAGTCCCAGTGTGGCATACGTGAGAGGGACAGACGGAGTGGGTGAAAATCATTTTTGCTGAGAGTTTGCAGTCTTATAGGCCACAGTTGAGGTCTAGTTGAGAAGAGGGACACTGAAGAGCATGACTACAGTTGGCCAAGGAGAGTTTGGTCAAGAAATAATCATTGCCAAAACTGAGCTTCACATTTGTGAGACAAATGACTTCTGACACATGACAACTGGACATTTGTGTGGTGGATTTTCAAAGGCAATAAAATGATTGAGATTAGTAATCTAAAGATTTCTAGCATGATGTTTCTGAGTTGTTGTGTATATCAGTTGGGGCCCAATCATGTTCAAAATCATCATATATGTGTTTTAGAGGATGTTTTCTTATGCAGTTTCAGCAGCTGTTTGCTCAGTCTCTGGAAAGCTGTTGTATTCTTATCTGATGCTGGAGCTTGAAGAGTGGGCAGTTGGTAAGGAAAGATGGAAGGTGTTGGAGACCAAGAACAAGCTAGAAACCACATGTAAAAGCTGCAGACTTTACGTATAGACAGAAGCCTGTGTTGGTATGTGTTCTCTCTGACCTCTGTGGTATGCATGTCCTGAAGAAGCTGGGCCTTTTGTCATGGAGATAGATGTACATAGCTGCCCCATGAAAACAGGATAATCCAGGAGAAAATGAGGCAGTTCCAGGCCTGACTGCTGCCAAGGAGGTAAGTCAGCAACAGTATGTGAGCAGCCAAATGGCTGTTGCTCTGCTTCCATCCTCCAAGTCTTCAGGGGAATCTCTCTTGTGGCCCACCCTAACCAGAAACACATAAGTAACAAGATTCTGGAAAGTGTAGCTCAGCTTAGTCACATCACATTGACACATGATGTCAGCACAGTCTACCCCTTATCAACTTGGCAAAAACACATGTCCTTCAACCATACTTAATCTATAAAGATGGTAATAACCAAATCACACTTATGCCTAGCATGAAACAATTATCCTACAAACAAATGAAAAAATGCCAATCCTTGATTAGAATATTATGCAAAGTCCCCTTTTAGCCTTTGAGAGACATTTATTCTTCTCCTAGCTGAAATTTTCTACTCTTTGCTATCCAGTGACTTCACAACTAAGCTATAGCTACAGGCTGTTAACACATCTTACTTTTAATGATAAGGAGATGAAAGAGTAAAAGAAGGATAAGAAAAGCAGTTGTTTATAATATATACAACATAATCATATAAATTATGATAGAGATACTTGTAATTATTACCATCCTTGTTTTTGCAACTGGACATGTAGTCATAGCTAGTATTTACAAGTACCTGCTTCAACTTCCCATTCCATATGCTCTTTGCTCTCAACAAGCATTCAGTTGCATCTTGCCTGGAAGTGTAATCCAAGTCTGTATTCTGGAGAATCCTGACCATTAGTGGTACAGACTGTACTGGGTTGTATAGTCTTCCATTTACTTTCATCACAGAGCATGGAAATACCAAGATGAAATGTAGTGGATTTCTTGAAATCCAGAGATGTCCATTCCTAGTTCATACTGTGCATTAGAAAACTGCTGTTCCTTGATACTCAGGCTCAGTCCTCTTTGCCAGTATAGCAACCCTTGTGTTCCTATTGATTTGCTGGCCTGAGGAGTCTAAAGGAGCCAGGTGGCAGTCTTAAATTCCAGTTGAGTGAAATAATTGTGTGTCCACTTGTGAAGCATCCCTTTGGAACAAAGAACCTCTAGAACAGAAGACTCTAAAATCATGGGCTACAGGAAGCATATACTTTGTTAGTGGATAATCAGGAATAACAATAAGAGAAATCATTCCCATTTCCACCTTTGATTGACATTTCCATTGATCCTAGCTATGGAAGAAATTTAGTTACTGGATTGAGAATATCTTTTACATTCTGGAGGATATTACAAGAGCTGTGTGAGTTATTTTACCCTACATGATGATGCATCTGGTCTTCAATTGGCCATTCCTCCACTCTTTCAAGCTTGCTGCTTCCAAGTTATGAAGACTGTTAAAAGAGTGGGTGGATGCGATGCCTCATGCCTGTAATACCAGAACTTTGGGAGGCCAAGGTAGGTGGATCACGAGATAAAGAGATTGAGACTATCCTGGCCAACATGGTGAAACCCTGTCTCTACTAAAATACAAAAAAGTATCCAGGCGTGGTGACATACACCTGTAGTCCCAGCTACTTGGGAGGCTGAG